CAGGGACGGAGGGGCTTCGAGCTTGGCCCCTGGGGGCTCCGGTAGCTCTTGTCCGCGCTGTCGGCTCGCAATGCCCCGCGACGATGGGGGAAGGCGGTGGCGTCGCAAATGTTGTTTTGTTGTTTTGTGTTGCAATGATTTGAGCCCCTTGGGAAAGAGCGGGCGGTCTGTGGTCTTCGTCGCTCTCACTTGCTCGTACAGCTGATCTCCGTTGCCTCTGGTTGTTGCTGCTGCTGTTGTTGTTGTCGGTGGTGCCCGTGGTTGTTATCGTCGATGTTACTATTTTATCCCGACGTTGTTGTCGTTGTTGCTGGCTCGCTAATTGTAATTGCGCGCTTAGCGCTCGCAATAAAATGCAGCGATATTTCGGGAGAAACTGCCGCGGTTGACGTCAGCGCAAATCCGCGGTAATTGTGGCCGACGTGTGTGACACCCCTTGCCCTGGGGTGACTGGCAACGCGGCTTCTCGCCCGCGGCGATTTGTGAGGTCGTCTGGAAAACGGGAGAGAGTTTACGTAACGAGGGCGAGAGAGAGCGAGAGAGAGGAGTTGCTAGACCGCGAGGAGTGCGAGCTCCTTTTATCTGGGTCGCAGTCCCCATCCACCCGGGCGGGATGGAGCCGCCTGGAGCTGCCGCGAGGGGTGCGTGGACACGGGGCGATGTGCCCCCCAGGGGGGGATCCGCCTTCAGGATCCCCCCCGTGAGGCGAGAGCTTCGCGCCCTGAGGCTTTATTATTTGGGCCGCCTGCGCTACGCAAGCAATCCCTCCGGCGGCGAGTGTTTGTAGAGTGCGTGGTCAGGGTTTGTCGCGTTTTTTTTTACGATCCTCCGTTTGGCTGCTGCACCACGTTGTTTAGTACAGATTGTTGAGGGTGGGGGGAGTGGTCCAAGAGCGGTTCGGACATTCGACACGGATGCTAAGCCTCGGATGGGATTCGAACACAGGTCCTTGAGATCGTTGCGCGGTCCGCTTTCGAACCAGCTGATAACGCAGCGAAAGCAGAAGTTGCTTTTAAAGGGAGACTTTGGTTGGAACAAGTGACCAGGGGAATCGGAGTTGATACATTGCTGCTCTCAAAACACTACTGATGTCAGTTACAATTCGATTTTAATATGTAGCCCCTAATAAATATGCATATTTAGGGGAAAGTGGCCAAAACACGGGGGCAGCTGAGTTCAGCGGGGCACGCAGAAGCATTGGTCCCCTACACTTCCTGCAGGCGTGGCAGCAGCCAGCCACAGTGGCGATAACTCCCGAGTGAATAGCCTACAAATGAACCTCACAAAGTCGCTAGATGTCGCGAGATGGACATAAAGTTGTCAAGCACGTCACGAGACGATTATCTAAGTGTCAAACGTAAGTAATCGGGTTCAGAATCCTTAATATACACATGGGAATCGCTCAGCGATATTGTCCTTGTCCTAGAAAGGCGCTGCATTTGTTGCTTTGACACAATTTTGTTGCTAGGCAACTAGGCAAGTCCAAAAAGTCGATAAAACCTCGCAACAAAATCTCTAAATTGGCAACCCTAATCAGCGACTTCGTGGGTGTAATGTTATGAGCATTCATGCAGCGCCTTTGCCCTGTGTAGGTAGGACAGGTGTGTTTGGGTGAAGGGATGCTGGTTTGTGGTTCGGTGCACAGGATGTTATGGCTTTTGCATTAACACCGGGGCTTGCAGCTACGAGGGCCCTAATGGGAGTGATGTGGACAGGAGGAGGAGGCCTGGAGCACGTGCCATCGTCTGCCTCCATTCACGATGAAGACGTCATGGAGCAGATCCTGCTGGATGCCCAGCACGAGTCCGAGCGCAACAGTCCCCAGAGCCGCTCCCACAGCCACAGGTGAAGACTTCACCTCTCCACCCACATCCACGACTTTCTATTAACACGCACTCACTGCTCAACATACACGCTGCACTGTGCAGCTGTATATTCGCCCTGTAGCGGCCTGGTAGCACTTGGCGTCACTCTCGCATTGACTATTGGTACAGAATGGATACCGCTGTGCCACGCACGCAGTTTTTCTATCTGGTGCCCATGCAAAACTTTAGATTTCTCTGCGCGTTGCATCATGCCCCAAGAATGTGGTCGTGGAAGTGGTCCATGGTAGTGGGGTCCGGCTGTGGCATGCAGCTCCACGGGGGCGTCTCTGTCATTGGTTTGGCAGCACGATGCTGATGCCTGCCAAGCGGTCACTGTCGGAGCCAGGAGGGCTCCTGGCAGTGCGGGCTGTCCAGTGGGACTGTCCAGTGGGACTGTCCAGTGGGACTGTCCATGTGAGCTTAACACACCGGGTGCCGCAGAGCTGTGTTGTGTGTCTGAGGACTGTAAATTAGCTGGTGCAGCATATGGGTGTTTATAACTGTCCCATGTGAACTACGGTCGTGTTTCCTCTGGGTTTTTAGCTCTTGCTGTCGCTACCTCTTTTTGTTCGCTTTTCGCACGTCTGTAGCCCCCAGAAGCCCCAGAGCCCGGTGTTCTTCAGCTGTGGCCCAGAGAGCAGCAACGCGGAGGAGACATTCCTAGGCGAAGGTGGCGGCGGAGTCTTCAGCTGTGGCTTGGAGAGCGGGGAGGCTTTAGGGACGCCCCCCCAGTCTGACGGAGCGAGTCACCAGGTACAGCCCCAGGGCCACCGCTCTCTACTTAAGATCTCTTTGCTGTCACACTCTCTCGGGTAGATTCACGCTGTGGCTGAGCGACAGGTAGTGCAAGTTACCTTGGGCTAATATCTGCGGCTTTAAATTGGAAGGCAGGCAAGTTCAGACCGTTCAATAGGAGATAACCTGTCATGGTGACCCATTGCTTGTAATGTTGGTTCATTCGCTCCAGCGTGTGCATGGCTGCAAATGCATGTGTGCATTTTTGTGTGTGATTGTTCGTGTGCAGTCGGATGAGGAGAGTGGCGACAGTGAGGCGGGAAGCAAGAGGAGTTCGGAATGGTCCAGCCGCCCTGAAAACTCCCCACCTAAGTGAGTCCATCACCTACCCATGTCACTGCCAGCTGGCGCTGTTTATGTTGTGTTCATATCTAATTTTGATGATTGCTGTGGCACGTCACTTCATATGCACAAATACATGTGTGGGTGTGTGTTTGATATATATAATGACAGCACTTGGAAATTACTCACCAGAGTTTTTCTACTGTTGGGCAAAAACTGTATTTGCAAACACAGCCCCCGAACCATGCACTTGCATAAGCATTTCACAGCCACGTGCATTAGTGGCCATGCCAACTTGCCCACTTTGCAATGCATGACAGGCGCCAACTGCTGAACAAACAGGGACTTGGTGCTGAATACCTGGAGGCTGTGGTGCCTATAAGCAACTCATCCCACATGTTTGTTTTATTGAGGCGGATTTCCTTTTTCATTTCGTATCAAACCAGGCGATCCAGGGAGGTGTGGGGGATGGGCTTTTGGGAGCTGCTACACAGCCTGCTGGTGTGTCAGGATTTACTCGGGTCTGTGTCGTGCGTGCCTGTGTGTCGTGTGTGCATGTGTTGGTGTCTGTTTGTACACTTGTGTGTGTGTGTTGGTGTGTCTGTATGTGCTGAAAGTTTGAACTGGTTCTGGGCCTCCCCTAGGTCAATTCAGCCATACATGAGTACCTGGTGTTGTGTGTAAACCTCGGCACTGGAGAGACAAAGGTGACCGAGTGTAGTCCGTGCCGGCCTTCATAGTTGCTCGCAAACAGAACTTTCCCCAACAGTCTGTTGAACGCTAAGAGGGGTCTTTGTGTATCCGTGCGCCTCTCAGAGAGCTGAAGCTGCATGCCTCGCATCGCGCAGCACGGACAAGCGTGCGGAAAAGCAGCGCCGTGAATAGCGGTGGCCTCTTCTCGTCGGAGGTGCTATGTGTCATCGTGCCATCCCTCCTCCTCTCCCACCTCCTCACCCTCGGCCTCGGGTGTGCACGCGCAATCTACACGCACACACGCACGTTCCACACGTGCACTGATGCATGGTTCACCAGGGATTTATTTATCACTGAATATTCTCTGGGTTGCTGGTCGATTGGAGTAGGTGGCACATGGCCAGTAGTAATTTTGCCTGTGCGGTGCAGAAATATTTTCCGGTTGCTGCCCCAGACAGACCCGACTGATATTAAGCACTGGGTGTCACACATGGATTAATCAGCCATGTTTGCCAAACGCATGCTTCACCAACAGCTGCCTGCAGCATTGTGATTTGGTCAGAGGCATGCCCGGTTTTGGCATATTGTAACGAAGATAGAAAACTACTGTAAAACGTATATAACTCTCAAACACACCCCAGATGGCTCTAAATGCAATCAGACTTGGTGTGGCTTACAGTCGAAAGTGCTTTCCAAAACTCTGCAGATGGGCAGGTGGTGTGCATGTGAATGTGCACGTATGTTTGTCGCTTTTTAAAACGTCATCTCGTGTCTCCTGCAGGATCTACATCGGCAAGCGACTCGCCGCCTCTTCCCACAGCTCTTTGTAAAAGAAGGCACTTAACTCTTATTCACTTTTTAAACACAATTGTTAAAGATCTAAAGCTAAAAAAAACCTTGTAATTGATTGAAAATAAAATCTTTAGAAGTAAAAGTTAAGTTTTACACTAAGCTGAGCACTCTCCCATGTTTGTGTTACTTGCGAGATGTCAAAAAGTACTTTAGCGTAGGTGCATGTAATAAAATATGCTTGTATGCCACTGTGAAATCATACGTAGTGCTGTAAAGGATGGAGTCGTGTATATTGAAAAGTCATTGTTATCTTAAGCATTGTGCCTTCCAGTTCCTTATTTTGTTACATTCTGTAGATCACAATACACTGAATACAGTATTATTGTAATTTGTTGACATGCTTTCATCTATCCATGATTAAACGTTCCCCATAGCTGAGCACTATTCGACTGACCTGGCTTTGTGTGTGACCCGTATTCCGGTCAATGTGTGTGCGTCATTCTCTCCCCCCCACCCCTCTGGGCTGTTTGGACACTGTGTACCTTGCCCATGGGCGGTCTTGGAATTTTGTTTAGCGGCGAGTTGATTAGCAATGTTTATATGCTACTCATTAAAGTTGGTGAGTGAGCCATTGGATGGCTTCAGGAGTAGCCTGATAAATATCTGAAATGCTGCCGGCAAATTATTGAAGTGGACAGTGATGTACTGTACTGTTGTCCGTGGGTTGAGGTTGGTGACTCTTAGTTGCTGATCATATTGGGACATCGAGAGTTCTGAGGACCGGGGCAGTTTAAGTGCGCCCCCATTACCCACCGTTCTGTCTACCAATAAAATTGTGTCCGCGCCAACTGAAGTTAAAATTCACATGCTCTCTGCTCATCATCAGCCCGTTAGTCAACCTACTGCTGATGAGGGCCTCCCCCATACCGTGCGGGTCTTGAGGGTTAATTGTTCGTACTGTGCTCTCAGCAACGCTGGTCAGTTGCGTGTTGGTGAAGGCGTGAGAGCAGAATACAATACGTACAATAGTTGCTGCACTGCCCTCTGCTGACAATAAATATGTATAACTAGAGAGGTTGAGGCTACGGGGGAGACTCGTTAGAAACAGGAGCTGAGAATACTCTACAAGGAGCGGTGCTCATCCGAGCTCCCAAGGGCGACTGATACACACGGGGCTATCAGGTGAAGCGTTGGCGTAGTGGTTAACGCGCAGTGCTATAAACCCTGCCGCATGAGTTGGATACCCGGCCAAGGCCAACATCGGTGAGTGATATCCAAACCGATTTTCAGGCACCCCGTTTCACCAATTCGCGCTGACAATCGTGGCAAAGTATGGTCAAACATCCCCTATGACCGCTGCAACGTTGGTGATTTGGGGGGGGGGGGGTAGCTTCGCTAAGCAGTGTTAACGGGCTGCACGTTACATGCATGGCCCAAAATTTCGGGACGGTGTCTCTTGAGCCACCAGAGCCTCGACAGTGACCGCATACGCTCCACCATCAGGGTTCCACCTCACACCACGTATGCTGTATAATGCCTTATGCACATACTTACAAAAACTAGTATGTATGTATATAGACTGCCACGCTAGTTATACAAAACGGCAATGTGGCTGGACGCGTGGGTCCCGCGAGAGGCAGAAACCCAAGAATCCCAGAGCTCGCCGCGGGTTTCCGGGGTCCGCGACGCCGCCGTTGCAGCAACCACGTGGCCACGTGGTTGTAGCAACCACGTGGCCCAACCACGTGGCCACGTGGAGGGGACCGTGGCCGGTGAGCACTGCGGCTGACGCGGGGGACGCTCTGGGGGAAACTTTGGGTTGAGGACTGTGACACCGGAGCCTGAAGACTGACGACTCGTTGACAAGGGAACCGTAGTGAAGACTGCAGCAGAGTGGCAGGGAGTGTGTGAAGACGGTGGCGATCAGTGGCGACTATTGACGTGGGGGCTGTGGTGAGCATTGTAACGAGGACTGTATTGACAACAGGGATTGTATTAACACGGGGACTGTAGTGAGGATTGTAGATCCATGGAGACTGTACCACCACGGTATAACTCCCTTTACTGTTCTGTAGTCAGAGGTCACTGTCCGCGTCGCTTCACCGTGGCCGGGGGGGGGGGGGCCCATGCGTAGGGCTGGCAAGAGCCGCGGTCAACCGGGAGGGGATCGGAGAAAGGTCGCGGGAAAGCCGAGCCAATGGAGCCGGTGCAGCTGCAGAAGAGGCAGCGTGAGGAGGGAGGCGACACCCAGCACCACGGTCCGGACTCGGTGAGGCTCTCTCACCCCTGTCCTGCCCTCTTACCCTCTCCGCCTCTCCTCCTCGCGTCCCCCTCCGTGCTCGCTTCTCCCTGGCCGTGCCCCTCGGGCCAAGACGGCGCCAAGGTGACACGGTGCGACGTTGTTGTTGTTGGCCCCTTCCCCGCGATGCAGAAGCGGCTGTGTCGGGGCTGCGCCTCGGCGCAATTCCCCACCTCCCTCCCGCAGGGCCGGCCCGGGCAGCTCACACAGACCGACATGAGGGCCGCCGGCCGGCCCGAGGCCATGCAGGTATTGGAAGGGGGGCCACGAACCGTGTAGGTACAGACTAGAGGTGGTAAGGGGGGGGGCATGGAGGTACTGTATGTGCCAGGGGAAACAGGCGTCATGGGGCGATGGACATGCGATGCTATGGAATAGCCATGGGGGTTCTCCCCCTTAATGCCCACCCCTTCTGTTTAAGAGGCAGTTCAGTACAATGGCTGGGGAGGAACTCAAGTTCCAAGGAAACAGAGTCACCACAGACAATCTCTTTGACGCAACCACATTTCCACATCGCTTCTTTATGCGCGATTTTACAGAAGTAAAAAAAATCCCACATCCGCTCTTTCAGACTCGTCCTACGCTCGGACCGTTATACTGAGGTAATCGATATGGGCGACAACCAAATTAGGCTGTGGCTCTCGCAGTGTTACTATTTACAGGGAGCACAAGCCATGGGACTCTGCGGTCATTGCATATCCCGTCTATGGTCTCACGGAGTCTCTAGTTGTTGTCGTTGTTGCAGATGGAACCCGGGGTCCTGGGATCAACGCCGCAAGTCTGCCCACGCTGTCTGGCCGGGGAGTCGGTAAGAGCAGATTTAGTATCGGCTTGATCGTGCTTTTATCCTTGGATGCACTCGCACTCTTATTTTTCCCTTGCTACTAATACAAGGTGACAATGTGCTACTGATGCAGTTACTTCAATACCTGCTCTTTTGCAAACTTAGTGTTTTTGTCGAATGATCTGCCGATTTTCTCTTTTTTTATATATATCTGTCGATTTTCAATTTTTTCCCACCACAATGCGATTAGTGCCAAAATCAAGTGATTTTGCTGCACTTTAACCTCCCTTGATATTCACATGGTTTATTGGAGCTACAGCCTACTCTTTCAAATTAGCAGAGACATCTGGCAGCAGTCATCAGCCTCAGCCACGTCTGAGTGATCAAGAGCCATCTACATCCCAAGAAGTATGGGACTGGGATGAGGTCAGAGATTTTAATGAGTCCAAAAAGGTATTATGGATCTTGTATCAGTTTGCTATGTATGATACATGGAAAATAGTGTAACAACATTGTGTGACTTTATCAGGGTAAATTATAGACTTGTAAGTTGTCCGCACTGTCTACCTGTATTATTCCACGTATCTGACCCATATGCGTGTCCCCCCAGGGCCACATAAATCACATGGGGAGTTCGTGACGCGGGGCCTCAAGGCGCTACTCCACGGGCCCAGCCGGGGCCGCCCTCCCAGCCGCTGGGGCCCTTTAATAGAGATTATTTTTGTTGTAATTGTTTACTGATTAGGAATTTTATCTCAGGTTGAGAGGTGTCTCGCTGCACTTATCATGCACGATGAACACAGCAAAGCTGTCATAGCCAGCTAAGCTGGCACAACACCTTTCTGATAAAACCCATCATGGAATGTTTTAACAAAATATTGCTGTAATATTTTTACACGTCATTTTTATATTCACACTATGTAATACAGGCTAATGGATGGCGTGTTTCACTGTGTCCACGTTCGTGTTATTTCAGTGTGCGATTCTGATTTATATCCAGACTATGGCTGAGTTTATAAAACAGTTTTATTCAAATCTTGAATTTGTGTATGGCTGGATGGATAGCAACTTATAAGTCTCTGTCCAGATTAGTCAGCCAGGAAGTTGCTGCAGTTGATGTGTGGTGGAATGCTTCAATGTGGTTGATGGTCTGGTGGATGCATCCATAATTGCATACTGGGCAATTATGGATAGAAGGACTTGCCATGGGGTGTGCACGACCGTTTTAAGTAAACCATTCTTTTTTGAGCGAGATTAAATCCCACACATTCTTCATTTGGATCGGTCATCAGATGCTTTTTCATGATATTCGTGTTCACTCATATTTGTCACCATTTCTCTGAAGATACTAAAGCCTGATTTTATAATCGTATATTTATGAAATTATTTGGTTATTGAGGTAAACCATGTTTGGATAATCGTTTGGACAGAAAAAATATTTTATCACCTTGTAAAAAGTATCCCACTCAAGATCAGGAAAAATGTTTACACCTCTATCCTTCACATGAACTGATTTTAGAAAAAAATCTATTTTGCATTTAACTGGAGTATGTCCCCTACTTATCAAAAAAACCCAGTGTCTGTTATTTTATGACGTTTAATCGCGTGGAGCTTACTTGAGGCGTGCTGGAGAGGAGGCCAAAGGTCGTAACACGCTGTTGGCCCTCATCAAAGTCCCTTTGGGGACGTGGCCCCGTGCTCCGTGAACCACGCACCCGGACGTACAGAGGCCCGGTCACCAGAATGGAGGCAGTTCCACCCACACAACGCTGGAGTGGGGTCTCCTGCCATCCGCATGCGGTCTTCCATGTCAAGCCACGCGATAAGCATTTCTTCCCTCAAGCTTTCACCACGCACTACTGTGGGCAGCATCAGGAGTTGAAGTGAAGATTCTCACCTGGTGTCTAAACATATCTGTAGTCTGGTTCATCCTGACTAAACGTGGATTAGGTCATCATTGGCATGAACGAGTCTAGATATCAGGGTGTGAACCAGGCGAGGTTCGCCACTTCCAACGCCTGAAGATGCCCACAGCAGTGCGTGGTGAAATCTTGAGAGAAGAAATGCTCAATGCGCAGACCAACACGAAAGACAATTTGGATTCCAGTGGCTGTGAAAACATGCGTATGAGAGCTACCATTTCTACCAATACCGGCTGCATTGACATGCGGCATACCGAGCGGATTCTGCTTGCGCTGTTTGAGACACGCTGCTGCCGCTGTTGCCTATTGGTTTGGGGGCCCACGAGACACACGCATCTTATTGGTTTTGATCATGTATGACTACAACGGTACGGTTGGGGTAAAAGATAAAATATGGGTTAGTGATGGGGTTGGCAACGGAGATAAACTTGGGGTCAGATATGGGGTTAACGATAGGGCTGGGGCTCGAAAAAATATGACGATTATAGTTGAGTTTCGGGTTGGGGGTTAGAGATTTAGGGTTATGGTTAAACATAGCCTACAACAAGAATTTTGATAGCAGCAGTGTTTCGCAAGAACCAAATGTTAAAACCTAGTTGATTCATAATGTACTCACTAGAATGATGACCGATGCGTTTTAAACGGTTATTACATCATTCACTGTAATTTGCCATATTAATTATTCAACGCCACTAATGTTTTACCACCACACGGTTCAACTTTCGGGCATTCGTCGTGTTAACTGACAGCGGGTGTAGGGCTCCTCCCCCTGGAGCTGAGCTTGAGTGGAATAGCGTCAGAAGGACTTTAGTCGTGGCCAGTGCCAGCACAAGCTAGGGCTGCACCTAGCAGTGGATAGAGTCCTTCATGCTCACCAAATAAGTGGACGGAGCCCCTCCGTGCTCACCACAAGCAGTGGACGGGAGCCCTCCGCGTTCACCAAAGAGTGTACGGAGCCCCTCCGTACTCACCACTAGCAGTGGACGGAGCCCCTCCGTGCTCACCACTAGCAACGGAAGAAGCCATCCGTGCTCACCAATCAGTAGTGTATGGAGTCCTCCATGCTCACCACTAGCAACGGAAGATGTCATCCGTGCTCACCAATCAGTAGTGTATGGAGTCCTCCGTGCTCACCACTAGCAACGGAATAAGTAATCCGTGCTCACCAATTAGTAGTGTATGGAGCCCTCCGTGCTCACCAATTAGTAGTGTATGGAGCCCTCCGTGCTCACCAATTAGTAGTGTATGGAGTCCTCCGTGCTCACTACTAGCAGTGGAAGGAGCACCCCGTGCTCACCAAATAGTCTAGGAAGCCCCCCGTGCTCACCACTAGCAGTGGAAGGAGCACCCCACGCTCACCAAATAGTCTAGGGAGCCCTTGGTGCTCCACACAAGCAGTGGCATGAGTCCACATCCACCCCCGGGGGAGGAACACGTGGCAGACGTCACCGCGCATGCGCACCTCCCCGAGCCATACTTTTGTATTTGGTAGCCCTGGACGGACGAGCCTGCAGCGCGATTGGTTGCGCGCCTCGCCGCGTGGGCGGCGCTACGGCCCGGGCGACCAATGGGAGCGCGCAGCCGTGTGGTTGCGCCGGTGCGCACTGGGGAATTGAGTGCGAGCCTGAGGCCCGACGAGACGAGGAGGAGGAGGACATGGCGCTCCCCGGCTACAGGCAGCGTGAGTCGGGGACAGCTCTTCCCGGTGTCCTGGGAGGTTTTCCCCATCGGTCCCAGAGGCTGAAAGCCTCCGAGTGGTGCCCGGGGATCCTGCCAGCGGGGATTCCCGGGGTTCCGGATCTCCCCCAGCAAAGTTCCCTCTTAGCAGGGAACCTCTGGGATCGATACCACTCCTCCACCTAGCAGAGCTTCCCGGGGTCTCGCGTCTCGTCCAGCGGGGTTCCTCGAGCCCCGAGGTCCGCCCTGTCTTTCCAGAAACGCGTAGGTTGTCACCTAGCCCACATCCCCCGCTCGTCCCTCCCAGGGGGGACCCCGCGAGTCCTGCCTTCATCTCTTAGAGAACCCTGAAACAGCTGGCATACCGGGGTTCCACATCCTTAGGGGGACCCAAGGTCCCCTGGCACCTCGGCGCCTGTCTCGTGCCCCTGCTCGCGCGTTGTTGTTTAACTTGCTAGTCGTTAGATTTTAAGGTCCGAACCCAGCCTGGGGTTCGAACAGCGCGTTTCGGTGCTCCGAAGTCCGGTGCCGCTTGCGGGGTTCCCAGGGCGGTGGGCGGTGGTGGTTGCCGCCGGTGAAGAGCAGTGGTCGGGGCGAAATAGCAAAACGGTCATCCCAGTCAACCAGTCTTGGTCAGCATGGTCCAGTCTTGGTCATTCGGCTGAGTCCGGTGAATCCAGACCATTGAGCCTGGTGAGCATGGTGTGGTTGGGTGAACCCACCTGTGTGGGCCTTTCCGGCGATTCTGAAATTGCGCGCTGGTTTTCTCTTGACCACTGTGGTTTTTCTGCCAAATGTAGCAGAATTCGCCTTGAAAATTTTGAGAAAAATTTCCATCCTATCAGGACCATGCGGATTACAAGTCTTTGGGCTTTGTGAGACTTTCTTGGACACTGAAATAAATTAATCCAGCTTATTGAGCAGTGGTTAACTGCTGACGTTGATGCTGGAGGGGCCATTGCTGATGCAAGGCGGCATCGCGTCTTGTGCACTACCTACATAATCTCCGCTGCTCTCTTCTGCGTGGGCCAGAATTTACTAGAAGGGTTCTCGAAAGTAGCTTTGCGAAATCTGCCATGTTCTAACATGAAGCGTTGTAATGCTCTGTGAGACATCCCAATGGATACTTCATATCAATACATGCCAGTAGCAAAGTGTGGATAAAATTGTAGGAACATTTTTTTACACAAAATACTTGTTCTGACGCGTCTTGCGGTGTCTGATCATCTTAAGTTAATAACGATCACGGGTTCTTTGCAGCTCCAAAGCGGCGTGCGCGCGGTGGGGCCCAAGGCCCTGACCAGGGAGACCCCAACCAGCTGTTTGATGACACCAGCTTCGGAGTGGGGCCCCCTGGCGGCGGCATGGCAGCGGGCCCAGGAGGAGGGGCCTACGGAGAGAGTCCGGGATCTGCCTTCCATGTGCCAGGCTTCCTCAACGACCCCATGGCAAACCCCATGACCAACATGGCCATGGCCTACGGCTCTACGCTTGCCAATCAAGGCAAGGAGGCCGTCGAGAAAAACGTGAGTCGCCTGGCAGGACATGGGAGGTGGGTTGAGCTTCACACGGCCACTGGGTTGAATACCCCTTTTACACGAACACGTCCGAGCAAAGCGAGTGTGTGGTTCTCCAGTATGGTGGTTTCCATTGGCTATTCCCTGCTGAACCTGAACCAAATTATAAGCTGTTTCTCACAAGACATCTGAATCTGCCTTGGAGCCAAGCAGGGCAAGGGCCTGGGTGAATAATTCCTTCATTGCATGTGACATTAGTCGGTACACTCAATGGAGAGTGCCACTGCATCATCTATATCCATCTCGTCTCATTGTGTGTGACGTCAGCAGCACGGCTCCACTTCTGCAGTGGAAAAACTAATTGGTGCCTTCTGAGCTGCGCCGGTTTGACTCGGCACGGCCCCAGTACGGCTCTGTTGTGCGGAGGAGAAGATGTATAAGTTTGTGGTGGAGCAGTGATAGGTGGTCGAAGTGAAACGACATCTGTTGTTTTGCGCTCCAGATTGACAGGTTCTTCTCGGTGAAGAAACTCAAGTATTACTTCGCGGTGGACACCGTGTACGTGGGGAAGAAGCTGGGCATCCTGCTGTTCCCTTACACACACCAGGTGAGGGCGACGGTTGCGCCCTTTTCGGTTTCACCAGCACATGTACCAGTCGTGCCCGTGCCGAAGGCAGAGACGGCGTCGATGGCAGCGGATAAGTACTTACGGCAACATCTGTTTCACAGAACTGGGAGATGCGGTATCAACAGGACGCGCCCGTGGCCCCGCGTGTTGACCTTAATGCGCCCGATCTCTACATCCCATGTGAGCGGCACAGGGACATCGATACACGTCAACACACCTCTTAACCATCACGTCCCCTGGATGTCTTCACAGATCACATCTATGCTGTCACACCTCTCACACGTTCATACATACGACTTCACCATCGTCAAATTTTCACAACTGGATTTGCAGCAGCACTTACAGAGGTAGAGGGAACATTTTTACTTGTGTTGTAAAAATATAATGGGCATTAAGGTCAAATTAATTTCACCTGTTTGTGTCTCTAGCCATGGCGTTCATAACCTACCTCCTGGTCACCGGAGTGGCTCTTGGCACCCAAAACCGGTACGGACTGTGTGTACCTGGCAGAGTTTACCTTTGGCTGCACCTTGAGTTGCGTCTATAGCTGCAGCCAGTTGTTGAATTATATGTAAACGAAGTGTTGTATTTTCGTCAATCATCAAGCATTACGACAACTCACCAAAGACCAAAGTGTGACTGACTATGATGAGACGTAATTTAAGGTGCCTGAATGTCTAGAGGCTGCAGCGCATTAAGGAAGCCCAAACATGGTGTTTGGCTATGTATGTTTTTAAAAGATTTACTAAGTTCACTGATTGGCTGACCTCATAATATGGAAGGAGGGGGGGATAGTGTGCTCTTCGCACCAATATGTAATAACTAATTGTGGACTAAATGGTGCTTTAGTCAACTAGACCTAAGAGAATGATTGGTCTGAAAGGAACAGATCAATCATTGACTAAATATCAACAGGTCATCATCAACTAGACTAAGACTATGACCAACTTAAAAAAAAGTGGTAAAGGTAAAATTACAGCCCTAAAATTACTTTCTCACGCCACTGAGAGCGAAAGGGCTTCTGCGAGGGGTAGCTCGAGAGCTGTAGAGAGCGCCTCTCATGAGTATTTGGCCTCCTCTTCCACTCTGTAATTGCTGGGTGTACGCCATGGCCGCACAGGTTCTCGCCGGAGCAGCTGGGCATGCAGGCGAGCTCGGCACTCGTGTGGCTTATCATGGAGACCCTGGCGGTGCTGCTCAGCCTCTACCTCATCACCGTGCGCACTGACCTCACCACCTTCGACATTGTCGCCTTCGCTGGATACAAATACGTCGGGTTAGGACCCCTCACCCCCCCTTTTGCCCCTACACCCTGACTCCCTTTCTCCCCCCCACACCATTTCTCATACACCCACCGCATGATTTCTCACGCTTGAGCAAAATCTCAGACATGCCGAAAACAATTTGATACGACCCAAAAGGTATCAGCCATACAACACAACGACGAAAACCTACGTAGTAATATTACCTGGCGGAATGTTGTCTTTAATGAGAAAGACGTTCAACATACATACATACATTGACCCGTGTGTAAACATCAGCGCAAGGAAACATCCCATCATGTGCTGCGTTGGCTTTAATAGCTCACGAACAGGACTTGCCGCAACAGTCCGTGTGTGCTACACTGGGGATCGTTATCTTTGTTGCTGTGTGGCTGGTTGGTTACAGGATGATCGTGAGCTTGCTGGCCGGGTTGCTGTTCGGTGGCAACGCCTACTACATGGTGCTCGCATGGTGTTCCTGCGCCATATTCTTCTTCACTGTTAGTCCCGCATTCTGTTTTAAATAAAATTTCCATCACCGCATTATTAATCGTACTTTAAAATGTGTTAGACATCAAATGTAGCCTACGATGACGATGATGATGATGACTGTTTTTTTTCCCCCAAACCACTGCTATGTCAGATCCGGACGCTGCGGCTGAAGATCCTGGCGGACATGTCTGCAGACAGCAGCATCGTGCGGAGCAGCAAAAACCAACTGCGCATGTACCTCACCTTCTCCATTGCTGCCCTGCAACCCGCCCTCATGTACTGGCTCTCCTTCCACCTACTGCGATAAGGCCCCATGCCCCACCCCTGCCACCAGCTGCTTTAGGGCCCCTAGCTCTGACCTCATCACCTGCTGCAATAGTGCCACGAGTCGGAGCCATACCAACTGTTGCAAATGGGTCCCTAATCCAAACACTGGCTCCCGGAGCCTCAGCTGCCCAGGCCATTTGGTGTTTTCCCTCGTATCCTGCCCTGTGCCGCCTGTACGTGGCTCCAATTACGTGGGTTTTTTTTGTGGCCACTCCTGAACTGCTTACCCCTACAAACTGCTGATTGGGTTGGCCATTGTGACCCACTTGGCCCTGAACACACTCCAGCCTCCACCATGCTGATGCCACTCATTCTTCCCTCCTTCGGCCGAGCTGTCCCTCAGCCTGTTGCTGCATACATTAGACTGGTGAATGTCAGCATTCCGCCTTGGCTTGAGCAGCCCCTCCGAGGTCCTGTCTCGTAAGCGGAACAGGAAGCCTCGTGTGGTACTGCAGGGTGGACTCCCAGAGCGGGCTGGTGAGGGCGTCACTGCGCATCGGAAAAGTCCATGGCTGCTACGCATTAAATGTTTTTTCTTATTTTTAAATTCTCATTTTTTTCCTTGCATATTACCAAGCCAAACTGTATATGGCTAAGTATTGTAATTGGACCATGATTTACTTTAATTACTTTGTGTCTAAATATGCCTTTTTTATATCTGTCCGCTTAATTCGGCGGACAAAAGCCACAACCATCTATTCCTGCGTCTGCAGGCATGGAACTAAAGGGAGTGCAAACCCATGGGGTTCCCAAGCTGGAGGTGTAGGCCGCTGGGAGGACAGGAAGGATGGGCCCCCTGGGCTGGGCTGCAGGAATCCCTGAACTAATCCCTCCCGGTCAAAGGCAATCATAAGTTCTCCCTTCCCCATCCGTGTGTTACCTTCGGCGATAGTGGCGCACGTGCGTCCTGTCCATGAGCCCGTGACAGTAGTTCTGTTTTATTCGCACGTCATTTACAGTGGCTTGGCAAAGTACTTGACATGGCCTCGTTTCCAGCTGCTCCTTTGGACTCGGGCTGGAGTGACGAGCAGGACTCCTCTGACTTGAGTCTTGGCGTGGTTGAGCCTCGTCTTCACCTAACGTAGTTCTGAGGGTGTGGATTTTCCCAAGGAGGCTTCTACAGTAGCTACCATGAGCTGGGAGCGAAAGAGGAACTGGTACGAGGGGCCATGGGTGGAATGGCGCTGCGAGACCTGTGTCAGCGCTGAGACGGCCCGGGCTCCACGTGGACGTGGTGGAGTGGGGGGTCTATAGTGGGGCCTCCGTGGGGCCAGTGGTTGTCAGCAGCTCGAGCGATGTGTGCTGTCTGCGTTGTGTCAAAGAATTAAACTTTGTTCTTGATCTCTGCACACGCGAACGTTTTATGTCTACGTACAAGCAACTTCCGAGTTCTGTTCCCATAACTGGTGCAGTAAACTCAACATCTTCATTAATAACCCTGCTTTAAACGAAACTATGGATCTATTATATATTTTATTATTTTTTTGGTTATTTGTGTTTTTGCACCACTGTCAACGCAGTTTCCACAAATAATGTGCTTAGTCTTCTTTGGTTCTTTCGGTAAAGTCACGTAGAATGAGAATAATAAATTAATAAAATAACAATAAAATTCTCACGACGTTTCGGCCACATTTTCTTTTATTAATTTATTATTCTCATTCTACGTGACTTTACCGAAAGAACCAAAGAAGATGAATCCTTGCAGTCACGAAAGCTTTAAATCGAAATGTCCTTAGTCTTGAGTTAATGTGCGGTCTCAAGTCTTCTCCGTAGAGAGGGGGACTCGGCTGGTGTCCACTGAATGGCTCGTGGGAAGAGGCTTGTGGTGACATCTGGGGGATGGTGGCTACATTTCGGCACCCGCGCCGATCTCACGACAGATCTTGAGACTCAGTGATGTGGATGTCAAACTAAGAGTTTAAAGCCTCTCTTTAAGTCGGACCAATTGTGGGAGAAGGGGGTGGGGCTTTCCCATCATGGGGATGTCCGACAATCTACAAATCAATAACACGAGTTTATGACGTGTGAGTGGCGTCCATGGTCTCATAGTTTGTGCCGTAGTTTTACGAATTCCCCACAGCAGGTGCGTTTCTTCGGGCGGCGTTGTAAGGGAGGAGCAGCCAAGAGAGGCGCTACTTTGTAACGACAGACGATGCAACTGGTGACACAACACATGGATGCACGCTTTATTGAATTGTACTCATAAACATCTGATGGTCATGTCCCTCTACGCGTTCGTTACATTTCTAGTTTCAAAATCAACAGCCATGCCTCTGTAAAAGCAGTGAGGGCAGTAAACGCCTGTACCCTGGTGGTGATGCTGTTCATTGACATCGCGTTGAAACACTCGGACCTCAGGCCGGCATAGGACCCATCTTCCTTAGCCTTCCCCATAGTATTCCGTCTCACCATGTCTCCTGCCCTCTGGGTTTCTTTCCGTGTCTCTATATCTCTCCTTGTCTGTCTCAAGGACCCCTCCACTCCCCACCTGCGCAGAGCTCCACTTAATGTCACGTGGGAGGCTGCGGTGGCCTCAGCCGAGTCTGACTCATGTTGGATTAGAGATGTGAAGAGGATGGGTTACTTTCTGGGTGGAGGCCAACTCCCTTGACCCTCAAGGCCGAGATAACCCTGACCTAACCCTAGAGGCAGGCTCCACCTCTTGCTGGATGCACAGAATCCTCATGCCGGGAGTGCCACCGGGTGTGAGGCAGTGGGGACGCTGGCTATGGGGATCTCTTGCGAGGGTCGCTCTTGTCAGGGCTACGTTTAACTCTTCAGGCTTCACGGGGTCGCTGCGTGACCTCGGCCTCCGGGTGAGCCGGTCATCTACGAGATGCGGGTGAATGAGGCACTCGTGGCTGCGGCTTCTGTCATCCCAAGCAAGTTACTGCACCTCGCGCAGAGAGGAGGAACTCCACCACGTGCACACGCAGCACGATGCGTACACACGGAGTGCACACAGGGCACGTGGCACGAGTGGGCGATCTGGAAAAGGGAAGTCGATAAACGGAAGTTTGCAACGAATTTCCCAGCTTCTCAACCCACGCTCCCCCACGCCGTTCCTCCCGCGCCCCGCGTCTCCACTGAGCCCAGGAGTGGTCCTGATCTCTCCGGGACACAGCATCAGCTCGTCCAGAACCTGCACCTGCTCCAAGACAACGCCATCGAGGATTATCACCCTCTCAAAAGCCATCCTTCACAACCATCTCCTCCATAAGTACGTGATCTACCGCCACATCGAATACAATATTTACATCCAGCATTCAGGGAAGGTATTTAAAGTGCATGTATATAGCGAGTGCGTGTGTAGTGTGTAATGAGCTTGTCTGGCTGTTAAGGCTGAGCTTGTTTGTGTTGCAGGGAGGATGGAAGTGTTCCAGACCAGCGTCCTGTTGTGTCTTGTCGGCGGAAGCCTCCATCTGCACGGTGACTCCTCACTGATCTCTTTTACTCACACACTCCCCATCTCTCAAGATACCTCTCTCCATCTCTTCACATCTTCACACAACCCTCACTCTTCTCCCCCTCATTCTCTCCATCGCTTCCCCATCGCTGTTCTCACCGTGACGTGGTAAGACTCCTCCGCCTCCCGTGAATGAGGAGTCGTCCTGCTGCGACCCCTACGCCCCCAGTCCTCTTCTCTCAACACGCAGCCACCTCACGAGGGCATCCCTCACTCGCTCGGAGGCATTTCATCGCTACTCGTGTCCACGTGGGACATGTCTCCACTTTTCACGTGTACTGTCTGCGTGCGCGTGATCGCTGTGATGCAACTTCACGTTCTCATGTTTCCCATGTGTCTTGTGCTCTCAGAGGTTGCAGGCTATGATTTGGGGGTAAATTATCGGAATTCGGTGGTGACTGCAGTGAAGGGAAGCGACGTCGACCTCCTCTGCGAGTCCCGGTTGCTCAGCAGGCAAGAGTCCGTTGTACGAGTCAGGTGGACGAGAGATGGCACTGATGTCACAGCAGATAACCTCGTCTACAGCTCCACGTCAACAGAGGTGGCTGAGAGCTACAGAGGTCGAACCTCCCTCAGCGACGAGCACAGCCACTGGTACTGGGCTCTCAAGATCAAGAACGTCCGAGTCTCAGATGTCGCCACCTACTTCTGCACATTGGAGACGAAGAACCAGGGGTTCACTGGGACATCAGGAGTTCAGCTTCGTGTACAATGTACGACTGCAGCTGGATAATACAATAATTTTAAGGTCACATGGGCTACCTTGCTACCTGCGTCATAATTTACGTAAATTTCCTCGAATAATTGAGGCAAGCCGCTTTCATCTTCTCTGAATATTCAGGGGAAATGAGTATGGAGTGGGATTTGTCAGGTGCTTCAATGGCGTTTCATCCCCCAAGTGCCCCACGTTGTTTCGTGAACGCGACTCCGTTGTGGTCGCTGCTGCCGCGTTCCACGGCCACTGGGTTCTGCATGGCCAGACACGGTGCTGGAGATGTTCACCGCCACGTGAACGGTCTGTGCATCTCTCACAGGTACGGAGTCCAATGACGCCACTGTGAGCTACGGACCCTCGGCGGAGGTGATGGTGCAGGAGGGAGGCCGGGCGCTGCTGCCCTGCGCCTTCTGCATCCGCAGTCACTACAGCATTAAGGGCTTCTGGCTCATTGTCGATCGCTATGATGAGAAAAATACCAGAAACATCGTCTACGGCTCTATGTACGACGACAGCCTCATAGATCGGTACAAGGGGAGAGTCGAGTTGGTGGGGGCTCTGAGTTTGGGGAACTGCTCCCTGGAGATCAGAGACGCGAGGAAAGAAGACTCGAGGACATATTTCTTCCGCGCCAACATCGATCTAACTAAGTTCAGTGGCACAGCAGGAATAAAAGTTACAGGTATGGAACCATTAATGGCTCTTTTACTAACAGTTCACAAATTTAAGGGACATTACACTGGAAATGTTAAACTGAAAACCCGTGTTGTGTCTAGAGGTGATACGAGAACCCGCGGCAGTTGAACTTTATTCTGACAATGAGAGAGCGCGCATTGATTGAGTACCCACCCCCCCGCACATACAGGAGATTGGGTCAGAATGTTTAAGCCCAATGATTTAAATTGTAACTATCCACATTGTGGATAAAAAGAGGACTTGTATTGAACCCTGTGTTTTCAAAGCAGATGCTCGGTAAAAAAAAATATGTCCCCAGGTAGCCAGTCTACAAAACAAGGCGTCCTTTGCGGTTCAAATGGCAGTTACAGTCGATTATTAGAAGTCAATGAAGGCCCTTTCACAGCTAAAGTGTTATTCACAAACTCTCTTCGGACGCACGAACACCCCTCCCCCCCAGGGCACGTCTAGGTACAGAAGTAAAGGGGCCGTCCATAAATGACGTCACGCACCTAGGGGAGGGGGGGGCGTCAGACATTTGTGACGATGTGTGACGGGGGGGGTGAGAAATGTGACGTCACATAAAAATGCGCAACTTTAAATAAATATAGAATTGTTATAACAACACTAATTGTTATAATAACATTCCTACAACATTAGAGTGCAGCGCCACATTAAATACGCACCACAATGACAATAGTTTAAAGCGATTTGAAGCATGTTATATGGTTTGGGGGGGGGGGGGGCAGAGCTTTGTGACGTCATATTTGATGGGGGTCTGACTTTTTGTGACGCCGTGTGACGAGTGGGGGGGGGGGTAAAAATCGTCCAAAATCGCGTGACGTCATTTATGGACGGCCCCAAACCCTCTCATCAGTCAATACTGAGAGCAGTGCACATTTACAAAGTGCACCCAAAAGGGCCGACTCTGCCAGGGCCGTTCCCACGTGACCGGGTGCAGCCCCGCCCACCGAGCTCCCCGTTGTGAAGACCACGTGGTTGAACACAGGCGTGCGCCGTGCCCTGCGTCCAGTCACCGTAGATGCCACCGCCCAGCCAGACCAGACCCCTTTAGTCTGGAGCTTGCTGACCCGCGAGGGTTTCACCTTTGTCGGCATGGTTTTCTTTTTTCTCACTCGCCAAACTCATTCAGGTGGTTAACCCAACCATCTCAGTGCGAAGGCCCAATGTAAACGTCTTGAGACACGGTGAGGTTTTTCCTTAGCTAAATAGAGGAGGTTATTATTGATGGTCCGTCCCTCTCAGTTCAGTGTGACCATTCAGCAGAGAACGCTGCGACTTGCAATGTATACCCCCTCACAACCATCATGGTTCTTGTTGTATAAATCTTTTGTTTCAGTCGTTGGCAGGTCATTCACTCCCAACACTGAGGGAAGCAAGAGAATCAGGGAGAAGGTGGGGACACGAGCCACTCTCAAGTGCACAACCACGAAATTGCAGCAAGCGGACAACGTTAAGTGGTGGAAGTACAGATCAGATGGTCGGTACGAGAGGTTGCCTCAAACGAGCCGCGACCTGACCTTGGAAGCTGTGGCCGTGAAAGACGTGGGCTGGTACGAATGCGAAGCGTGGAACTCCTCAGCAAACAGCAAAAGTTCATGGACGGAGCTGCAAGTTTTCTGTAAGTGATCACTCCCGAGCGTGGTGATACATGGCATTGAAGTTACTCTGTCCACAGCCTATGCACTCTGTCACCAGCTAACAAACAGGGCGTATCCAATTAGCCTGACCCTAGACTTGGGTTGAAAGTTCCCTGTGGTTCATGGAACCTGTGCAGGACTCAGGGGTGAGGCCACTGTTCGGAGTGGGTGGCGGTGCTCATTAATTGCAGACGCTGAGGACGCTTGTGAGCACTGTGGTTCTTCATGTGTGGTAAGTGTTACATTTGATGAAACCGATGATCGTTTTACGAGTGTTCGCTTACCGAGTTATTTTCGCAGAAATAATTTTGCTCATTGAGCGAGAAACGCCCATACTGTTTGTTCTGTATGGTTACTGTGTGGTTGCTGTGTGTGCTGTGTGGTTACTGTGTGTGCTGTGTGGTTGCTGTGTGTGCTGTGTGGTTACTGTGTGTGCTGTGTGATTACTGTGTGTGCTGTGTGATTACTGTGTGTGGTGGGTGATTACTGTGCGTGCTGTGTGATTACTGTGTGTGCTGTGTGGTTACTGTGTGTGCTGTGTGGTTACTGTGTGTGCCGTGTGGTTACTGTGTGTGCCGTGTGGTTACTGTGTGTGCGGCAATGTGAGGTGCAGTTGGTGTGTTTAGCAATCATATGTTTTTACATGCTGGCATTTCAGTAAAATTTGGGATGATCTCTATTTATATAATTAATTGATAGTGTAAAGATCCTTGCTCCAAGTGTGTGTGTACGACCGCCTCTGTGTGTTGTAGGTGATACTCTGCACCGTAAATTGTAGTCTACCTGTTAATGTCAACTCGTGTCAATAATCCATGACCATTGGCTGCAGCCTTCCTACCGGCCGCGCCGGGGCTGCGCGCCGCCGTGCCGGCCACCCTGGGCTGCAGCGTGGACACCGTGTCGCGTATGGACTCCGTCACCATCCGCTGGTTCCTAGACGACGATGTCAAGTGGACAAACGCGACCTCCCAGAGTTCATCTAAAGACGGGACGTTCACCGTGACTAGCTGGCTCAGCTTCACCCCATCACCCGAGGACGATGGGAAGAGATGGCGCTGTGAGGCCTCGGGAGGCGACGTGGCCTCAACGATGGTCCAGGATTTTATCCTGGACGTCAAGTGTGAGTGTCCGGCAGTGATTGATGCCTGTGTTTTTAGATTGGCGTAGAGACTGTGTCACTGTGTGGTGCTACGATTATAGTATTACGAGGGGCACAGTGCTTTCTGTTTGTGCGTGATGCCCTCCTGTGACTGGAGGTCACTTAATTACTTGAGGTCATCTTCTTTGGTTCTTTCGGTAAAATCACGTAGAATGAGAATAAAATAATAAATTGATAAAATAAAATAACACAATAAAATTCTCACGACGTTTCGGCCACAACACAAGCGGCCTTCATCAGGTGAAGGGACGAGACTGTCTGGAGAACAGCGCTGGAGCGAACAAAGCCAAGCTCAGATCGCGACCTTTAAGCTGTGTGAGAAGAAACAGAGCGCCTTGACAAAGGAATTATCATAGAATTTAGCATTGAAATAGCTGAGTGATTAGCTTGTGACTGGTCACAGAAATGGCTATGTTAAAGTAAAAGCATACACATCCACAGAGGCACCCCTTGACAAAGGAACTCTGTTTACAGGAAAGCTACCCATACAGATGCTTACTTGAAACCGGATTCCCACCACCATCCATCCCAGAAGAACTCCCTCATCAAGACTCTATACCATAGAGCCCAATGCATTTTCGACCAGGAACACATTACCAGTGAACTCAAGCACGTACACCAGGCTTTCAGGGCTAATGGTTACTCCGACTACACAATCCGCAAAGCCACCACTGCAGTCATGAAGAAGGATCCTCTTGTGGAGCCACTCAAAGCCATCACCTTACCCTACATTGCAGGGGTCACTAAAAAGATCTCCAAAATCCTGAATAGACACAAGATCCAGGTCTGATTCAACACACTACATAAAATCCGTGATCTGGTTCCATCTGTAAAATATGCTGTTCCAGACATACAGTACCCGGGCGTTTACAAACTAAAGTGCCTCTGTGGTAGTAGCTACATTGGAGAAACCAAACGACATATCTCGGACCGCATCCGCGAAGATAAAGCAGACTTGAAACACGGTAGAACGAACTGCTCTGCCGTAGCAGATCACTGTTATAATTCAGTGGGCTCACATGACATTGACTTCTCCAAGACGGAGGTTCTTTGCAAACCAACCGGCTACCATGAGATATTCCTTCATGAGGCCATTCACATATACAAGCACAGAGACAATTTCAACCGAGAAGATGGATTCTGGCTTAGTAACCATTGGAAAGATGTTTTAAACCATTTCCGTTCTTAATTAATTGTATTTTGCGATGACCTTCAGACCGCAACTCTTTCGCTGGCATTGACTCTTAATACCTCTCACACCACGGTTAACGGTATAGTTTACGACATGGAGTATAACAGCGCCTCGCAGCTGTCTCTCTCCCCCTCCTCCGTTCCGACCATGGATGAACTCGTCCGTCTGAACGGTGCTCGTAGCTATCCGTGGTGCTAAAGTTGAGGGTAAGAATCCACCCATTTTTTCGCCATATAGCATTGTGATATATAACGACTTATTGTTGGTAGCTTAGCTGATTGGAGAATATATAGAGTTTATTGATAACATTGAGGTAATTTATATTTTAGTTTTTTATTGGTTTACTATATAGTATTCATTATAGAGTGTAGTGTATACCCAGTTACTGTTAATAGCTCAGATGTGTAGGCTTTGACTTTAACATAGCAATTTCTGTGACCAGTCACAAGCTAATCACTCAGTTATTTCAATGCTAAATTCTCCTGTTTGATTTGCACTAGGTGCCTCTGTAGATGTGTAGGCTTTGACTTTAACATAGCCATTTCTGTGACCAGTCACAAGCTAATCACTCAGTTATTTCAATGCTAAATTCTCCTGTTTGATTTGCACTAGGTGCCTCTGTAGATGTGTAGGCTTTGACTTTAACATAGCCATTTCTGTGACCAGTCACAAGCTAATCACTCAGTTATTTCAATGCTAAATTCTCCTAGTTATTTCAATGCTAAATTCTCCTGTTTGATTTGTACTAGGTGCCTCTGTGAATGTGTATGCTTTGACTTTAACATAGCCATTTCTGCGACCAGTCACAAGCTAATCACTCAGCTATTTCAATGCTAAATTCTATGCTAATTCCTTTGTCAAGGGGTGCCTCTGTGGATGTGTATGCTTTTACTTTAACATAGCCATTTCTGTGACCAGTCACAAGCTAATCACTCAGCTATTTCAATGCTAAATTCTATGATAATTCCTTTGTCAAGGTGCTCTGTTTCTTCTCACACAGCTTAAAGGTCGCGATCTGAGCTTGGCTTTGTTCGCTCCAGCGCTGTCCTCCAGACAGTCTCGTCCCTTCACCTGATGAAGGCCGCTTGTGTTGTGGCCGAAACGTCGTGAGAATTTTATTGTGTTATTTTATTTTATCAATTTATTATTTTATTCTCATTCTACGTGACTTTATCGAAAGAACCAAAGAAGATGAATCCTTGCAGTCACGAAAGCTTTAAATCGATACTTGAAGTCAGATAATACACGTGATCACAGCTGCTTCTTGTGAAGGAAACTGAACAATAGTCTTTGATCTGCACACAGGGCCAGGTAAATTGAGATGCAGACCTCCTCAGTGACAGCACAGGAGAACACTGCTGGGCGGACGGTCCTGGATGCTTGTCTGGGCTCTGTCGCTATGAACGCATCTCACACTTTGTTGACAGACGCGCCGGTGAACACGACGGTTCATTTTGCTCCTCGTCTCCCGAGAGTGGAGTCTGGTGACAACGTGACCATGACGTGCGTCGCCCACGGTAACCCGAGCCTCACGTCGTTCAGCTGGAGCAGGGTACCACCCAGCGGCCGCCAGCTCCCTCACAACCCCACAGACGGTATTTGGATCCTGATGAATGTCACGGCGGAGGACTCGGGGCGCTACCTCTGCGAGGCGTCCAACAGCGAGGGCCCCGGAACCTCCGCTCACCTCGACCTGGACGTGCAGTGTGAGTCACGGCAACAGAACCTCACCACGCAGGCACGCTCACCCAGCAGCATGGTCCTGCATCAGTGCGAGATGAATGAGCGAGCGAGCGAGTGACTGGCGGATCCCCCTCTCTTGACAGATGCACCGGTGGTGATGAACCTGTCTCAGGATGAGACGTGTGGGGGTGATGGTGACGTGTGCCTCTTCTGTGAGGTGAAGGCCAATCCTAGTGCTGCCATCACCTGGTGGGCTTGGGGCAGCAACGTACCAGAATGGACCCAGGATGGGAAGGAAACCCTGACCTGGAGCTCCGTGGCCATAAAGCAATCACAGGAGCAGAATGTGACCTGTGTGGCGGCAAACGTTGTCGGCGAGACTAAGGCCGTGTTTTACATTAAAGGTACTGATTCAGTTTTTCACTCATTCGGTGTTTCACTCATTCACAGTTTCACTCAGATTTTCGCTCATTTACGTACCTTGTAAGGCTATTGCACACAAAACGACAGCAGCAATAATAATCACGGAGAATGTGGTTTGTGTCAGGACTGGTGTCAGCATCCTGGGCCATGCACGTGGCCGCTGGTGTGGGGGTCACGCTCCTGCTGTTGCTGCTACTCTCTGCGCTCTGCTGGCGAGGACGAGGTGCTGTGTGGCACACGGCTCCCAGCACCGTTTCGCAAACGATAACCGAGAACTTCCTCGGAATGCAGTGTGCTGCGGGGCCATGGGGGCTGCTCTATAATACAGGCGTCACACGCAGGCACTGGGGATCAGACACGAGCAGTGTTACGCAGGTACTGGGAATTGGTTAAGATCTCCCTCTCCTTTACCCCAGTGGCGGCTAGCAAGCCTTTTCAGGATCCCTGCCTTCAAGTGGAGTACATCAGGCTCAGGCCATAAGGCCCTTGTGCAGGCCAGTGAGCGGGGTCGCGTGCTCAACACGCTACACTGGCTAAACGTGACCTTTGACCTATGTCTTCTGTCCTTCACAGTCGCTGCCAGGATACATTGTGGAACTGTTCTGCACCAAGCCACTTGTTGCCATGGTGATGGCCGTTAGAGACTTCCCCTAATGATATAGGGTCCATTAGATTTCTCTTCAATAACAATGCTCAACACGTGCACGCTGGTCATAGCGTCGGTGTGTCTAGTCTCGCAGTAGCTCCGCGAGGCTTTGGTGGGAGAGTGGCCCACGGTGCACTGGAGCCTCTCTGATGTCACTCGCGCTGCCTCGTGCCGCCCCAGTGCTGGCCGCCGTGTTGAAGTGGAACGAGGCGGAACCGGCCACTCTCTTCCAACTCGGAGACCGCATGGGGCCCAATGGAGGAGCAATGGGGGCGCGGCCCAGGGCGGACGGATTGGCAGGAGATAGAGCCTCCTCCCAGCAGCCACTCTACTGCAACGTGCAGAGAGAGCTAGGCCCGGTGAGTGGCCACCGTCTGCTTGCCCCACATCCACGCAGTCCGGCGCCAACGTTTTCATCTTCATAGGCAGCTCAACGATGAATCTGCGATTGGCGTGGACGAGAGCACGCTGGTCTTCCCTCCCTATCAGTGTCTCTTTCTGGAAGATGTAGAATGTAGCATTTCACAATTTACAATTACACCACAGTGTGTAATTCATATAGCCTCTTAACCACAATTGCAGAAGCTGTAGAGAAAAAATGGGTTTAGAGTTGTATTATAAGGACTTGCACATAGTCCACATAGTGCCAATCTGAGAGATTAATAAGATGATGATGTGAATTTTGTGTCCATATTTTACGTTCTGTGTCCCGGTGACGGGGCCCCTGCTCTCAGCCTCACCCCCGTATACATCTCCCTGGTGGCTCAGCGGGGCCCGCAGCCCCAACCGCCAGCGCCGACTGCTTGTACAGCCTGGTGGGCATGGCCGCTCAGGCTGGTGAGAGGCCTCATGCACAACCGTGGGCACGTTTTCCCGGTCACCGAACTCCACACACCGCACAGGCAACACCCACAGTGCACACACCATGCACACAAGCGCCGGTCCTCAGGGTTAGGGGCTGAAGGCTGTAGGCTATGGCTGTGCATTTGACGTGCATGGTGATTTTCTCCACAGAGCAAACTCAGCCCGGGGCGCTTTACAGCGTAGTGAACCGCAAGCGGGCCCCGCTGGGGCCCACGTACGGGGAGGCCACCCTCTACAGCACAGTGGGCCCGACGGTGAGCCCTGTTCCAGCCCCCCGCTTCCACCTGCACCAATGGGTCCATCATACCGGTCATGCCTGGTATCCGCTGGTACAGTGCATCAATCCAGTCCATGGTTGTAAATTCGAGTGCTTCGTGTGCCTGTGCTGTGGGGTGAGCAGGGCGCCGGCGACCAGCGCGGTCCGTCCGCTACTCCCAGCGCTGGCGACGGCAGCGGCGGAGACGCGGATGAGCAGACGGAGGCGCTGGTGTACGCCAGCCTTGATTTTGGTGCGACTTCGGGTCTCCCTTGAGAGAACCGAAAATCAAAAGCTGCTTCTGCTTACTTTGTCACGATGCACGTGTCGCGGAGGTGGCATGACGCTTGATCAGGAGCCAACGAAACATAGTGGGATAACTTCAGTGAGCATGTTTGGTTAGATTCTAGAATACGTACGTAAGTATGTTGAACTTATTTCGCACCGTATGTGGCCAACAGTGCTATCAAGTCAAGTCAATGTTATGTTTGTTTGCATACGTGGTGGCTTTCGGACACAAATTTGCCACTCAAAGCGCCATCACCTTAATACTCAATCAAGGCCGTAGCCATGCAGTCAACTTTGGGGGGGACCAAATCTTCCAGGGGGTCTGGGGTCCCCCCTCCAGAAAAAAAATCTACATTTGAAAACTAATTTCCTGCCATTTCCTGCCTAATATATTCACTAACACATGGGATGGACTTTTAATTTATTTTTTACAATAATGTCTCTTAGTTTGTTGTATTACATTGCTGTTTTTACTTTTTTTACCTTTTCTTGTTTCATTGTATGTAATGGCAGAGATTAGGGATTCATAAAGTACAACCATAACCACAATCATATAAACAGAAATATATGCATTGATTTATATGAAGACAAGTCCAGATATTGTGGCCAAGGTTTAGTAAATTGTTGTTTTTATTAACATAGCATCGCAATTTTATTTTTTATTTTTATAGCAATATATTGGGGGGGACATTTTAAGCATATTTGATTATTGGGGGGGGGGGGGTGTCCCCCCCCCCCCCAATATATTATAATTACGGCCTTGTACTCAATATAAAATTGGAAATTATAAACAATGAGAAAATATATTTACATACTCACTACAGTTGTTTCAAATATAACTGTAAAGGCAAGTTGTGGCTTAGAGTTCGTTATATGCAAATGCAAAGAGATGTGTTGTTGTTGAGTTGTGACTGTGATTGTGGTGGTGGTGGTGATGGAGCCGAGTGTGCGGATTGCAGTGGGGAGGTTGTTCCAGAGGTGCGGCGCTGCACTGAGAAATGGCTGTCCAACTCCGTAGTTTTGTGGTTGGTTGTTGTTGTTGGTGGTGGTGGTTGGAGGAGTTTATGGCCTGAGAAGCGAACCGAACTCTTGTTTTGTTTGATCTCCACGAAGGTGGAGCTTGGTTGTGTGTTACTTTGTGTGTTACTTCGTACGTTAATATGATCATTTTAAAGTGTTACTGGTTGTGACACATTGGCTAAATTCCCATTTCCCCGTATCCACCAAAGTTGTCTGTCCCCTCGAGCCGCTACGCAGAAACGGCTACGTCTGTGGACGGGACCGCTTCGCCTCCTCCTCCTCGTCGGACAGCTGGAGGACCACGAGGCCGATGTCAAACGAAAGCGCTTTTAAATAGTCCGAGCTCTGCCTTGTTGAAGACGGACGCCGCCGCCCTCGATAGAGATGCGCCCCCCCTCCCCCAACGGTGTTTCTCTTCTCGTGTGCCCCCCGCCACACCGTGGCCGGGGGGTCGCGCAGAGGAAGCCGCGCGCTCACCACGAGCGCCACGAGCGTCTTAGGTTGCGTGTCGGCGGCAATTCAACACAAATGTAAACGCGCAGTTAGCGCTACCGTGAGATGACAATTCAACGTAGCGTGGTTTAAATGGACTGCTATTGTCGTGTCGTGTATAGCGTGCGGTGAAGATAAATGAACTGTTTTTTTTTAACTCGTCAGACTCGGTGCTACGGTGATGTTGCACGGTGTATTGCTGAAACTGCAGTGTGAATCAGGGTATGTTGCTGGCATTTCGTTTCTTTGCGTCATGTAAGGTATTAAGCATGCAATGTAAGGCGTTTAGTTATATGATTTTAATAAAAATGCATTTTAGTGAATGCAGTTAAGACTACGAGTACTGAAGTTGTTATTTTGTTGTTGTTGCGTGTGCCGTACTGTTATGCAATATAATCATCGTCAGATATGTTCAATCCACTGCTGTATGAAGGCCTCCTGAAGCCGTTGCCGTCCCTACGTTATGCTTAATGGTCCGCTTAGCGCCTGCACGCGAGCTCATTTCATCGTTCCGTCTCCTCCGTCCAGATGCCGACGGAGGCCTTCCATCTCTTGGCTGCCCGCTCAAAATTAAAATACTGGCACAGGAATTGCATTTAAATATATTCACGATCGTTGCGTTTGCGTCACTTGATTATTTTGCTGCTATTATTATCAAGACTCCATTCCCCCGCGCCCGTCTTCTGATCGCAGTCTCACGGCAGCGATGAGATGGATGGTGGCCATGCGCCAGCGGCGTCGGGAGCGAGCAAAGCCATCACACAGCGGTGGATTGACCATGGCTCATGGTGGCACCTGTCCCACGCTGCTCCTCCTCTGTGGGATACGCACAGAGGAAGGAGGAGGACCGCCACCTCTTCCTTCAGTAGCGTAGTTACGTGCTGCCGGTATCGCCATTCTCGTGTGGTCCACGGTCGCGACCATTGCCGGGCGGCATTCGTGAGTTCCCAGCCCTGGACGTGAGTATAAACAGTAGATTTAGAATTGGGGACCAATTGAGGCTTTAGCCAACTCGGGTCACTTTACCCGGGGCTGGTGGGGGACTCATTCATTAACCTAACATGTGTGAGTGTTAATTCACTTAGCACAGTTGAGTGCTAATTAACCGACAACATGTGCATGCTAATTAAGTTTGAACGGGTTAACGTACATTGGCGATTGTTGATTATTGTGACCAGGTGAGAGTTAATCAATGATCGTGCACGAATTTAAGTGGCAACATTTGCCGAGCCAACCCCGCGATAGAGACGATGGACGCATTGCGGAGAATGGATTTCTCGACGTTTTTTTTTATTGAGACACCACTACGAACACGTGGGATTACATGCGTACGGTCTACACGTGTCGTCGGTATAAACACGGCGGTGTACACGCGCGAGATCACGCGGGAGAACGCTGCTTCATATCCAGCTCGAGGCCTCGCCCTCCGCGAAGGGGGCCACTCCCGCGGTCCCACTCACGCCTCATCGCAGGCGAAGTCGTTTTCCTGCAAGAGGGAGGGAGAAGGTGGGAGTGGTGATGGAGTTGGCGCGGGTAAAGTTCGCGAATAGAGGAGACGCTGGATCGTGGGCCTCCTCGTCGTGTTGGCGGTGGTGGTGGATGCTGCGTGTGTGAGTGGTTATGGTGCTCCTGCAAAGTGGCGTTGATAGTTGTCCAAGTGCACGTGGCCAATGCGCGTTGTAGGCGGTGTGGGAGGAGACGCACGTCGGTGGAGTACTCGTGACGTATTTTGTGGAAGACCCGCGTCTCGTTGATCACTTTGCTGGGGAAGTAGCCAAGGGGCGCCGCGTAGTCCGCGTACTGGTCATTGTACACCTAGAGTGGCAGCCACGGGGAAGGGAGAGGGGGGAAGGGAGAGGGGGGGTGAAGGGAGAGGGGGGGAGAGAGGGGGGGCAGGGCCCCTGCACGGATGAGGGCAGGGGAGGGCCCTACTCGCCTGCCCAGTACAGGATCTCAAATACACAATTAATTGGTCATTCGTATCCACATTACAATTTCTCTTGTTGTAACCTGTGATTTGGGAATGTTTTACGGTTAAAATCGTCTCTCCTGAAACGTTCATTGAGCCACTCCTTGAAATGATGTCCTGGTTTTTATATGTCTCTGCATGTACCTTACCGAAAAACACAAAAACTCCACTTCATCTCAGTGGCGCTTACACAGATGACGCAATAGTTACAAGCGAACTTACAGGCGACCCTGCTTTACATGGACCGTAAGAAATGGAAACAGCTTGGTGAGGCATTCATCCAGCAGTGCATAGAATATGATTGTTCACAATAGAGGCGCAGTCAACATGTCAAAGTGGATTTACGTTCAAACGAGAGTGCGTGGTGTCCGTCTCCTCTTTACAGCTCTCAGTAGTGGGAATTCCACATTGCTATGGCGAGAGCAAGTTGTAATACGACAGTGACTTGTCCTAATCCATAGGATAAGTCACTGTCGTATTACAACGAGCGGTGGTGGCCTTAAGTAACAGACTCGTGCGATATTGATAACATGCGCATATATTCTAGATTTGAAGCTTTCGTGACTGCAAGGATCCATACTCTTTGGTTCTATTCGGTAAAGTCACATATGTAAAAAATAAAACAACAAAAATCACGACGTTTCGGCCACAACACAAGTAGCCTTCTTCAGGTGAAGGAACAGAACTGTCGGGACGACAGAGCATATATGTTGTGGAACATGCGTCACCAAGGAATAGGGAGAGATGCGTCTCCTGAATATGTATATGATTTTTACAAGGATTCATGTCTGCATTAACCACAATACCTGCAGTCAAAATGCAAACAAAAAACATACTATGATAATATATGCATTGTCCTTGAAACTGATTGGTCCACACCAAGGGACGGCTTTCTTTTGAGCCTCGACCCAATTGGTGCTCGACCAGATGACGCCAAAAGGCGTACAGCTCAAAGACAATGCACTATCAAAGTAATGAGGGCTCGGGTTGAGCATCTACATCACTAGACCTCCTTTGCCAGTACCAAAATGTAATAATAGGGTTTTTTCCCGTTTTCTGGCAACAAAACTGAAACCTTTTTACAAGGATTCATGTCTGCATTAACCACAATACCTGCCAGAAAAAAGGGGAAAACCCGTATTATTACATTTTGGTACTGGCAAAGGAGGTCTAATGATGTATATCATTTTCGCGGTTCTTTCGGTAAAGTCACGTAGAAGGGAAGTAATAAAATAATAAAAATAAAACAATAAAATTCTCACGATGTTTCGGCCACACCAGAACTGGAGCGCTGTCTTTCCGGCAGTTCTATTTCTTCACCTGAGGACGGCTACTTGTGTTGTGGCCAAAACGTCGTGAGAATTTTATTTTATAATGTTTTATTATTTATTATTTTATTATTTCCCTTCTACGTGACTTTACCGAAAGAACCAAGAAGATGAATCCCTAATCTCTGCAGTCACGAAAGCTTTAAATCGAAATGTATATCATTCTCAAGAGAGACAGAGACTCTCAACACCATAGCAGACGAGGTTCTTCAGTCGGGACGTGTGCAACAACATGAAAATCGACAGAGCCCTCCCGAGGGTACGGCGAATCGCGGCGACCGTCTCGGGCCCTGTGCTTTTGGGGGGGGGGGGCGGATTCGACGTCAGGGTGTCAGATGTAATAGTTGTTCCGTTTTATTTTGAATGCGTCTGGGGGCCCACACGGTGTGGTTTGCCCCTGGCCCCGCACGCCCCCCCCCCCCCCCATGGACTTCCCTTCGTATTGGGGAATTATGTCAGCTGAGTCGGTGACTCATAAAATACTTCCACATTCCACACAAGGCACACAACATCAAATGTTTACACCTCTCGCTGTAGCTGTAGCATCGTCACAACCACAGCGATAAATGAAGCCCTGATTTTTGGTATCGGAATGGTTTACGGTAACGCTACACTCGTGGGGTTGACTCGCGTGTGGGCAGTGGTGGCGCTAGGCATAAGCAAACAAAGTAAAAGCTTAGTGACCCATGCAGTTCAGGGGGAAGGGGGAAATAGGGGTATATCAAACATCTTCTCAGATGCTACTCCGAACAACCAGAACAAGCCAATTTAGTCTATAGCTTAGTCTGCATGTCCCCTCTCATAGCACCACGTATCTCTCTATGTGTCTATATTTATCTTACCTTTCAATTTACCATGAGTTTTGTCAATTCAGAGTGGGTGGGGGCAAAACAATACCTGTTGGTGGCACCCCCGATAGGCTAACGTCGCCACTGGCGCAGGCACCCTGAATACGGTCGTCCACCGTGGTCGCAGGAAATCTATCCGGGCCCCCACTCGAGGGGTGAAGGGGGGGGGGTACTCACGCTGCCGGCCCAGTACTCGGGGGCCCCGGGCTGCGCAGGCTTGAGCTTGGAGAAGACAAACACCACCTGGCGAGCCTTGAGGTTCAGAAAGCGACAGTCCGAAGCCTCGTGGTCGGTGACCACCTCGCCCACGGAGATGGCGTCTGCGGGAGGCACGTGGTGGGGGTCATATCAGCGGGACCCCCCAAGCGTCGGGGTGCCCCCCTCTAAGGGGGGCTAGAAGTCATGTTCACGCTCCAGCTGTACCCTCGCCACCCCACCTCCTCCCACTGCTCAAAGCCGCGTGGGGCGCCCATAGCTATTTCCCTTTCATCAACTTCAAATCCACAACATTCACGACCACCGCGTGAATCAACACTCCCATCTATTACCACAACGCCATAATTAACGCTACAGCCGATCTCGTGGCCCCGCGTCTCCGACCCGCACGGTCCAGCAGCGTGGTGAAGCATGACACAAATCACCCCCATGCCTGATACGGCGTAGGTGGTGTTTCATCCACCAGCGGATTGAAACCGGGGCTCTAACAAATACCGCGTGCCCCCCCCGCCCCCCGATACTCCCGGAACTTGCATATCCAGCTCTAACCACATCCATACAATCATGGTATTTACATCCGCAGCTATAACCACATCCCTATAATCATGGTACTTACATCCGCCGCTCTAACCACATACCTATAAGCACATTACTCACCACAGCACTCACAATGGTTACATCTAAAAGTCAGTCCTCACATCCCCAGGTGTGTGTGTGTACTAACCTACCCAGGTGTGCTCGCATCTCCAGGTGTGAATACTCGCCAACTCAGGTGCACACGCATTCCCAGGTATGTGTGTACTCACAACCCCAGATGCAACGGGCTACCGCACGTAGCCCGCTGCATCACCACGGCAATCCCTCCGGCCATAGCCTCCCCCGCCACCACCGCCAGGTGCGCCAGGTGCGCCAGGTGTACTCACAGCTGCACTCGGGGTCCGCGCAGCGCTTGGAGTTGGAGAGTTTGTCGAAGGACACGGCCCCGGCCGCCAGAAGCACGACGCACAGCAGAGAGCTCCACATGGCGCGGATCCACAGAGACACTGACCTGAGCTCCGATCTCCCTCCGAGCCACAGCAGCCTGCGGGGGGGGGGGGGGTAAAGGGGAGGGCGGCCTCTGGGAAGAATGTGGCAGGAGCGTGGCGGCGCCTCCGGGCACGGGGGCTGCCCCGGCCGCCTTGCTGTGGTGTGTATACGCGTATGGCTCTGCGTGCGTATGTGTGCGGAGCGGTGGCGCAGCGGTTAGCGCGCTAAGAACCAGAGTTCGATTCCCGCTTAACGACCTACACCAGTGACAGTTATCTGAACCGGCCCTGGGCTTCTCATAGGTTTATCGACTTGGCCTTGAACTTATGTTTAACTTCTTTCGCACCATACGTAATCCAACCCTGCTAATCGGATGTGCGGGGAAGGACAACAAGCTGAACACAAAAAGGAGTTCTAAAGAAATTAGTTTTAAATCTAGATTTAGAAGTCCACAGCTCCGGTGGGCTTTCTAATATCGTAAGGCAGAGCGTTCCAGACGACCGCAGAAGCACATCGGAAAGCGCGCGATGCGATGACCATCTTTGTTCGATGGCGAGCCAAAAAGCGTTGCGTGCATGACTGGAGTTCGCTTGATGGTTTTAAGGTGTGTGTGCGCGAGTGTGCGTTTAGACGTGCGTTCATGTCTGTACGTGTTCGTGGTGTGAGGAGTCGTGGCGCAGTTGTTAGCACGCTCGCGCGACGATCCCCGCCGCAGAGAAAACGGCATCAGTGGTGAGTGATAGCTGAACTAGGTCATGTTCCTCCCATAGTTCGACTCAGCCCGAGATGTGTACCCCGTTCGGTGCGTAAACATTACTGGGGAGACAAAGGGGGCCCGGCATGATGCTGGCCACAGCGCTCACGGCACTGTGGTCACGTGGACGAGTTGATGCTGTTGTGATGCATCGATTCGTATCGATTTTTCTCTCACGTTGAACGCAGATTCGTGTGTGCGAATCATTTAACACGACTGCAGGCTGCTGATGAGACTCAGACGGTCGAAACATGTCCAGTGTGCTTGTTCCAACAAATGCGGATGGGCAGTATTGGCACGAAAAGCCAGCAGCACGGTACTCTGTATAGGCTGGTGGACTGGAAACGTTTTATTTATAAACATGGGAAGTGAAGACCGCACTGAGTTCTGCTTAAATTTGTTCCGAGCCCTAATCTCCACAACCACGACTTTGTTTGCGGTATTGCTTCAAGCCAATAGCCACGAAGAACCGATACTTATACTCTTTGGTTTTATTCGGTAAAGTCACGTAGGTAAAAAACAAATTAAAAATAAACGAAACAATTAAAACACGACGTTTCGGCCACAACACAAATGGCCTTCTTCAGGTGAAGGCACAGAACTGTCGGGACGACAGCGCTTCAATAAACGCTGCTAAGTTTCGCAGCGTCTTTTAAGCTAGGTGGGAGGAGCAGAGCGCCTTGACAAAGGAGTTTACATATCAAACATGAGAATTTAGCATTAAAATAGCTGTGTTAAAGTGTTGACACAGTAGGGTGTTAAAGTCAGAGATTAAAGATCGGCAAGAATGTGCTGTAAGGGGGGAGTAGAAAACAGGGGAAATAGAAAAGCTTAAATGCAGGTTAAGGGGGGGAGGGGGGTGGGGGCCATGACGGGGGACCTTGGTGGGGTGCGGAGCCGAGTTAATCCTGTGTGTGTGCAATAGAAACGGAAAAATAGAAACATTAAAGATTGGCAAGACTGTGCTGTAAGGGGGGAGTAGAAAAAATGGGAAATAGAAAGTTCGGAAGGAATATGCTTTCTATACCATTACTTGAAATTGCTGTTAGAAATTAGTTTGACGTTTGGTATGATTTAAAAAGTCTTTCCAGTGGCTGCTTAATTTGAAACCATCCTCTCGGTCGAAGTTATGCCTGTTTGTATATCTGAATGGCTTCGTGGACAAATCTATGGTGATAATCTGTAGGTTTACAGAGAACCTTGGTATCGGAGAAGACAATCTCATGATCACCCATAGTGTTGTCGCTGACCGAATTCGCGAGCACAAATCAGATCTGAAACACAGCAGAACAAATTCATCTGCTGTGGCTGATCATTGTTACAACGCTAGCTTAAAAGACGCTGCGAATCTTAGCAGCGTTTATTGAAGTGCTGTCGTCCCGACAGTTCTGTGCCTTCACCTGAAGGCCACTTGTGTTGTGGCCGAAACGTCGTGTTAAGTTTTTTTATTTTTAATTTTTTTACCTACGTGACTTTACCGAATAAAACCAAAGAGTATGAATTATTGCAGTCACGAAAGCTTCAAATCTAGAACCGATACTTATCTTAATTATAATTCTGCTGAATTATACTTCAGAAGCATTGTAGAAAAAGCCCAAATCTGCTCAAAAACCGAACGGGCTGAGTTTGCTTTCACGAGTGCTGCTTCATGGAGTTGGTACGATAAACCTAGATATCTATGTATTTATATCTTGGCACGATCTGAGTTATTCTCGAATCGAAATGAATTAATCACGCTCCCACTGCCGCTGAACCCGGACCCAGCTCTGGGGACTCGTGCAGTAGACCACGGGGGCCTCACGGCTCTCTCGAACACGAATTATTCCAGATGCGGGCACGTGGGGGATGTCGGGGGATTAAGGACCGATCTCTACCCCCTCCCCCAACGAGGCATTAGTTCTCCTTTGAGCTCCGCCCCCGCTTGGCGGAGATCAATGTCGAGTTTGTCCGCGCCGTGCCACGTAATTTCGCGGGGACGTGGGGACAGGCACCCCGTCAATACGAGACCCGGGCCACCCCGTGGGCAGGAACACCGCTGCTGTGAAGATGAGCTGCATCCACTGTAGCCATAACTCTATCCCAGCGGAACAAAATCTATTAGGGAAAGGAGAAAAGGGGGTTTTTATTACCGGAAGCTTACCTGTGCTTTCGTGAGGACAGCCAAGTCTGTTTGTCCCATCCGAAACGTGAAAATAAAAATTTCTACCATCTTTTCTCACCTCTGCTCGGTATTTCCCACCGCAGTGGCATTTGGCAGTGATACTTTCATCACGTATTCTCACCAGTATCTGTGCATTGCAGATTCGGGGGGGCCAGTGTGCAAGCACATTTCATCCTGGAATAAAGGCTCTGCCACCAATACCCCCACACACCCCCACCCCCAACGATGTACCTTGTGACATCCACCGACCACCCTGGCTGGCAACTCAACTTGATTGACAGCAGTATCTTTAGTTATTTGATTTACCAGTCATTTTTTTGCAGTAATGTCACTACCGCCTCAATCATGAAATCCAAAGAGTGGTGATGGAGACTGTAAATTTAATACTCAGAGCTGCTGTATGATCTGCATTTGCAAAGACTTTGGGATTGCGAAGTTCCCAGGTGCAGTCTTTGGGTTCATGAAGTCCTGGGTTCACGTAGTCTGTGTGGACGCAGATGCACCAAACGTCAATTCCGAAAAGTGTCCAGTGTGGGGCAGGCGAGACGCAGACGATAAAATAACAAGACCACTCCATTCACGCCCACCAATTTATTTATCCAAAATGTCCAACTGAAAAACATTGCCTTGAGCTGCATGGAATAAAGACCGCAAAACACGCATGGGTCCGGGTGCAGGAGCCTTGGTGCAACTCGTAAGCACAGCTCCATGTGCGGAAGGGAACCAGTCCTGATTAAAATATGGACACTCGGTTACTTCACAGAAACACCGCACGTTCAACACGTGAAAAGCCTCGCATTCCCCACCGAGATCATAAGAGTCTGTCCCCGGCATGAAACGCGCAAGGCCGTGCAGAAGTGCTGCCGTTCGCAGAGACGTGGTCGTTGACATCCGCGAGAAGCCCAGTGCACACCATGGGCGTCTGGCGGATCGTCGCTCCGAAAACTGGGAGGCGAGGGCCCTGCCGAGCCCTGGCGAGGCCACGGAACCCCCCCCCCCCCCCCCCCCCCATACTTACCAATGTTGAGGGACGGCCCCGGGGCTTAACTCCCCCCTACGACTCCACTGCCTGTGCCCCCGGCTCCTCCTGACCCTCCGTCTCCACTGCTGGCACCATCATCTGCACATCCTCCCCTGTTGTGTCGCCCTGCTGCCCTGCGGCCTCTGCCTCCTTACCTTTCTCGGCGCTGCCCTCCGAGGACAACCGCTTCCCGGCCTCGCCTCCCCTGTGCCCCTCGCTATGCCTGCGACGAGCCCCGCCCTCTGAGAGCCTGCGCTGCCTCTCCCCCCTGTGCCCCCCCTCCCCACTGTGCCCCCCCTTCTTGTCCCCATCCGACCCAGCCCTGACCTTCCTGTGGGTCTCGTTCTTGTCACCGCGCTCCAAGTGGCGCGCGTGACGGGGCGAGCGTGGGCGGGGGCTCCGCCGCACCGGCTCCCGCTCCCGACGTCCCCGCTCCGAGCTATGGCGCCGCCGCCGCCCCCCTCCCGAGCCGCCCTGCTCGTGGCTGCGGCTGCCCCCGAATCCCATGACCCCCCTGCGCCGGTCCCAGCCATCGCGCCGCCTGTCTGGGCTGCCCCCCCGGTCACGCTCCGGCCCCCGCCGCACGATGCGGATTCGCTGCCCACGATCGCTCTCCCTGCGCCTCTCGCTACACTCCTCCTTGGCCACCGGTGTCTTCGTCTCTTCAGGCTTACTCACTTCCTGCCCTTCAGGCTGGGCCCTCTCCCCTACCTCCCCCACCTCCCCCTCCTCCATCCCCTCCTCCTGGTGCTTGGCCTCGAAGCTGCCCTTCTCCTGCTCTGGTTGATCCTGCCCTGCCTGCTCACCCTCAGGGCCGCCCGACATCTCTACATCCTGCACCGGCGCTCCATCCGTGTCCTCTCCAACGTCCCCCATCTTCGCCTTACCCTCCACGTCCTCTGTCTCAGGGCCCTCCCCCAGCCAGGGGGGGCCGCCCCCCAGGTCCCCGTCTCCGTCCGGCGTGGGACCCAACCGCCCCCGGATCCTCGCGCGTCGTGGCCGCACCTCCATTCTTTCAATCTCCTCCAGGAAGTCGGCGCGTCGTTTCGCAAACTCATCTGGCAAGGCGTGCGTGCGCATACACAAGCAAGGTGAAACACGGTCACATCCAAAGTCCGACTCGTTAATTAATTGTCTGTACCGCAAGCCCAGCACCGCCCAACCGTGGAATGGTTGCCTCACCACTCAGAGTCTTTTGCGACTCCTCCAGCAGCTTTTGCGTGTCAGGGTTCATCTTGGCCGGAAGGAAGAACATGTGCGGCTTCGTCTTGGTGCGGATGAACGGGAGCAGCTTCTGGT